GCGCGATCTCGGCTCACCGCAACCTCCGCCTCCTGGGCTCAGGCAATTCTCCTGCCTCAGCCTCCCGAGTAGCTGGGATGACAGGCACGCGCCACCATGCCCAGCTACAGATGATTTTGTTGAAAAAGTATTCTGATTGTGTGCCCAAAAAGAAAGAAAGAAAGAAAAGCAGGAAAGAAAAGGAAAGAGAGAAAGAAGGAAGGAAGAAAGGAAGGGAGGGAGGGAGGGAGGGAGTGGGGGCACAGGGGAAGGGAGCTGCAGAAAAACAGCAAGTAACCAAGAAAGTAGGAGAGAGAGGGAGACAATGTTCAACTGCATGTCTAGGCCTAGTGATTGAGTGGTAATGATAGTATTGCTTACATTGTTACAGATATAAGGGATGGTTATCCAATTGGATATATGATTCAGGATAAATACCCTTTTTATTTGCTGTCCAAAGTATCTCGCTTCACACCTGGACCGCAGGTGTACCTGTGTGTCCTAGGAAGCAGAGTGAGTGGGCCTCCCCCGTGTCCTAGGAGAGCTGAGAGAAGCTTGCTCTCAGGCCGGCTGCTTAGCTGAGGCCTGGACATGGCAGCTTGGTGTTCAGGAAAGTCCTGGGGGAGGGGTGGGAACAGGTGCAGCTGCTGCCAGGGGAGTGTGATATTAGCGGGAGATCGGGAGTGAAGCTGTGTTTCTCTCTGTACAGAATACAGGAAATTCAGTGGCAGGAAATGAGAGGGGCAGCTAAGCAGCCACAAGGCAGGTTTTCAGTGTGGTGTAGGGCGGGTCTGAACCACTGTGCCTGACCCAGGTGGCACAATAATAGACCCCAGAATCATTTTCAATTAGATTTTGCAGTTTCAATTTCCACCTCCTCCTAGTGATTGGAAAAGTATTATACTTCTCTGAACTGGGGATGGAGTTGTCATAGTACAGAAGATGCTGTGGGGCCTTCCCCTCCTGGTGGAGGTACCAGTGGATGTATCTGGTATTTTCTACAGGAAGATCACACGTGATTGCAGCAGATGACCCACTCGGCACAGTGACTGACTTCATTCTCCCTTCCAAGTTGGAAGATATCTGACTGGCTGCAATGACACAACACAAAATATAATGGGCATTCCATAGCATGGCACCCCTTGCAAAAAACAACAACAACAACAAAAACAACAAAAAAACACAAACAAAACCCGTGAGCCTCTCTGTAGGCAGCGCACTCACCGGGAGGCAGGAAAACCAGAAGCAGGGCTAGGGCCCACCCCATGCCTTCCTCTCTGGGGCCTTGGAAGGAAAGGGACCAGACGAAGAGGAGCACAAGACCCTCTCAAAACTCAGGTCCCATTCAACAAAGAAGTGATCCCTAGCACAGAAGGCAGTCAGGGAGCTGGTCTTCCTGAGTCACAGGCAGAAAGAAACTACTGAGGATGCCTCTTTGGGGACTCCCAAGCCTTCCTCCAGAAGGGGAGGTGCCTGGGGGGACCTGCAGAGGAGCTCCTGCCTCTCTGCTCAGGCCGGTTCTCCAGCGCCCTCCTGTGGCAGCTGAGAGCAGGCCCTCTGCAGAAGAGAGCCAGGGGCAAGGAGAGCTCAGGCCTGCAGCAGAGGGAGTGCAGACCTGGGAGAGGCAGAGCCTGGAGTTCACAGGCCCAAACCTGGGAGATTGTTTGCGGGTAGTGCACAGCAGGCTCACACCCTGTACTGCAAAGTTTCAGCAGGTAAGGCCACTGCCAGGGCCTCATTCTGCCAGGCCCATATTAGGGCCCCAAATTGCCATCTTTTTCACATCTGAAAGCACACTGGGGTCAGCACCCAGAGGCACTTGGGGTAAGCCTGAACCTTCTATATTCACAGGACTGAGAATCAGGTATGTTGGGGTCTTGGACTTTCCTCTAAGGTAAATGGTTGTGTGGGCGTGAGCAGATGTTTCTGTCATTCTGTATGAGTTTGTGTGTGGGGGGATGCACATGTGAGTCATCTCTTTATTAGAGGATTTCTCTTCAATCAGGTAGAAGTGTGAGTTTTTTGTTTGTTTGTTTTTGTTTATTTGTTTTTAGTAGTATAGGGTGCCATGTCATGCAATATTTGGGACATACTCAAACTAAAACTTATTTATCTGAACTTCCAAATTTCCTGGGTATTGCATATTTTATTTAGCAACCAAACCCTCAGAAAGCTGACTGATATCTGCAGTGGGCCTGGATTCCTAGATGGAGATACAGATGATAAAACAAGTCCAGTAAAATAATTGTGAGACTTCAGTAATGCCTACACAGATTTTCAGCTCCTCTGTAACAAATATGCTTAGACACATGTTTAAAATATGCAGAATAAGATGTAGAACCATGTCCCTCTTGGTTGTTGTGTTGACCTAGCTCAGAGAATTCAGTTTCTGCTGTCATCACTGCAGGGAATGAGAAACGCTGAGGGCCCTGGGTGGTGTCCCTCTGCCTCTGGACCATGCGTACAGGACATGCGGCTGCTGCAGGAGGAGCTCTGAAAGCTGAGTCCTCAGAGTCCTTGTGAAGGAGGGAAGCTCACCTGCCTTGGAGCCTGGAAAATTCTGCCTGGGACAGAACTCTCGTGGCTTAAAAATGAGAAGGGAGAGAATTGCCGTCACATGAGAATGGATAGAAAACCTTTAAAACAAAAAAGTAATAAGAGAAGCAAACTCCACTGGAATGTGAAATTAACCACTAAGCTACCAGGCTGAGGAGAGGCCAATACTGGCACTAGGATGGAAAGCTTCATGGAAGACAGTGGAAAGTCCAGAAAGAGAGCCACAGGAATGTCATATTTTATCATATAAAGTTGTATCTTAATATCCACAAGGAAATACTTGATTGTTTAATATGTTCTCCTTTGGGAATTGACCTACCATATGGAAACACATATTCTTGGGCTGCTACCTTTAAAGCTAAAAGCAGAGATTTAGTTACAATAAAACTGAAAACAGGACATAATTAGACTTAAACAATGATGAATTGCACACTAATTTTAGATGACATTGTTCTCTCTGTGACTGATATCATAATAGAGACCCTAGAAAAATTGATAGATTTTTTATTAAAAGTAATATACAATATTCAGTTCACCAAAGATGCAGAAAAAAAAATACCAAATGATGAGAAATATTTTCAACTTGTTTGATAAAGGATCACTTCCCTAAAATGGTGTATATTAATTCTTACAAACAAATAAGAAAAAACCCTCCAAAAGAAGAATAGGCACAGAATATGACAAGGTAATTCTCAAAAGAAGAACTATAAATGGCCTGTAAAGATGTAAAATAATGCCAGTACTCCAAAGATGAGGGAATGCAAATTGAATCAACAAATCTCATTTTTGGAACCACAGAGCTTGGATTGCAATCAAATTAAAGTATATGACATAGGGGAGGTCACTTAACCCCCTGATTTCTTCTGTGTTACATTCAATGGTACTTTAGACCCTTTATGAAGTTTCTGTGTAGATTAAATAAAGTCTGCATGGAATGTGCCTAGCACATTAACTACCAGAATGTCAGTTCCACATTTACCATCAATAGTATTATTATTAATTTTTTTTGAGACAGAGGCTTGCTCTGTTGCCCAAACTGGGGTGCAGTAGGGTGATCTGAGCTCACGGAAACCTCCACCTTCCAGGCTCAAGAGATTCTCCTGCCTCAGCATCCAAAGTGGATGGGATTACATGTGTGTGTCACTACAGCCGGATAATTTTTTTTTTACTCTTAGTGGAGACAGGCTTTCACCACCTTGGCTAAGCTGGTCTCAGCCTCCTCCTGGCCTCAGGTGAGCCTGACTCAACTACCCTAATGCTGGGATTCCAGGCATGAGCCACCGGGCCTGGCCAGTATTCCTATTATCCATATAGTAATTATTGTATAAAAATCCTGATAGATCAACGATGCTATCATTAAATAATCAATGCATAAAAACATTCAAATAAATGATATGGACTTCTTTATGCATACTTTTGAAGTATGTGCACCTTTAGAAGACACAAAATACAGATGTGGGAAAATGAAAGATTGTTTAAAATGTATAAAGACCCAATATAAGAATGAAAATATAAATATGGCATTGAAAAAGAAACAATACATACGGCACTATGACAAAGTGAAAAAGTTTAAGTGAACGGATAAAAATATTGTTAACTATAGGGTCAGAGAGAAAAGAGGAATGAGAAATCTACAATGGAAGCTAAAAGCTTCAAATGAATCTCCTTGTATAATTTTGACTTCAGTTCCATGTAGTGGTTTATGTATACTAAACAAATATGAAACAGAACATAATAATTAAAAATTTTTAAAAATATAGAAACAAAAACCAAACAAACTAGCTGTATCAATGTTGGAATGAACAGATAGAGGAAATAATTTCAAATGATTTTGTAGAAGAACTATTCTAATTATGTAGCCAAAATGGAAAGAAAGAGAGAAAAGCAAGGAGGGAAGAAAAAAAAAGGAAGGAAAATGGAAGAAAGGAACGAAGGAAGGGAGGGAAGGGGAGAAAAATAATAAAGCAAGTAAGTAAGGAGAGAGAAAAAAAGGGAAGGCAGAGGGAGAGAATGTTCACTGCACATCTAGGCCTAGTGATTGAGCGGGAATTCCAGTACTGCTTATACTGTTACAGACAGAAGGAATAAGCACCAGTCTCAGCTGCGATCTCCGGACCAACATTGGATACATGGTTCGGTATAAATACCCTTCCCATTTGCTGTCCAAAATATCTCACCTCACAGCTGGACTCTAGGTGCAGCTGTCTGTCCTAGAAAGCAGAACGAGTGGACCTCCCCCACAGAGCAGAGAGAACATTCCCCGCTGACAGGCTGCTTAGCTGAGGCCTGGACATGGCAGCTTGGTGTTCAGGGAAGTCCTGGGGAAGGGGTGGGAACAGGTGCAGCTGCTGCCAGGGGAGTGTGATATTAGCGGGAGACCGGCAGTGAAGCTGTGTTTCTCTCTGTACAGAATACAGGAAATTCAGGGGCAGGTAATGAGAGGGGGCAGGAAATGAGAGGGGCAGCTAAGCAGCCACAAGGCAGATTTCAGTGTGGTAGGGCAGGTCTGAACCACTGTGCCTGTCCCAGGTGGCACCGTAATAGACCCCAGAATCATTTTCAATTAGATTTGTCACTATCAGTATCGAGCTCCTCCTCGTGACTGCAAAGCTCTCCATCTTCCCTGGACTGATTCCTGAATCCCACATAACCCTGGAGTTGTAGGTGTCACAGTGCAGAAGACGCTGTGGGGCCTCCCCCTCCTGGTGGAGGTACCAGTGGATGTATCTGGTATTTTCTCCAGGAAGATCACAGGTGATTACAGCAGATGACCCCGTTGTCCCAGTGACTGACTTCATTGTCACTTCCAAGTTGGAAGAGATCTGACTGGCTGCAGTGAGAACAACACAAAACATAATGAGGCATTTCTTAGCCTGGCACCCCTTGCAAAAGAAGAAACAAAGTAAAATGAGACCCGTGAGCCTCTCCATAGGCAGCGCACTCACCAGGAGGCAGCAAAGCTAGAAGCAGGGCTAGGGCCCACCCCATGCCTTCCTCTCTGGGGCCTTGGAAGGAAAGGGACCAGGGAAGTGATGCCTAGCACAGTGAGGGGAGCTGGTCTTCCTGAGTCACAGCAGAGGGAAGTGACTGAGGATGCCTCTGGGGACTCCCAAGCCTTCCTCCAGAAGGGGAGGTGCCTGGGGGGACCTGCAGAGGAGCTCCTGCCTCTCTGCTCAGGCCGGTTCTCCAGCGCCCTCCGGTGGCAGCTGAGAGCAGGCCCTCTGCAGAAGAGAGGCAGGGGCAAGGAGAGCTCAGGCCTGCAGCAGAGGGAGTGCAGAGCTGTGGGAGGCAGAGCCTGGAGTTCACAGCCCCAGCCCTTGGAGGGGGCGGTGCACAGCAGGCTCACACCCTGCACTGTGGTGTTTCCGCAGGTAAAGCCGCTGTCAGGAAGCTTCTGATTAGGGCCCTGAACCACCTTCCTTTTCGAATCAGCAAGGAAACAGGAGGCAGCCACCCAAGGCCACTCGGCTTTATTAACAGGACTGAGGGTCAGGTATGTTGGTGGGTCTTGGACTCTCTTCTGAATTAAATGGGTGTGCTGGGGGTGGGGGAACTGTCGGGGGGCGGAGGTCGTGCATGGGACCTTGTGGCTGTGGTCTCTGTATTAGAGAATTTTTATGCATTGAAGAACGAGTGTGAGTTTTTTGGCTTTTTTAAGTAGTACAGGATGACATGTCATGCAGTATTTGGAACATATTTAAACTAAAACTTGTTATTTAGCTGAACTTCCAAATTTCCGGGGTACTCGATACTTTAATTGGCAGCCCTACCTCAGACTCAGACTGCTACCTGCAGTGCACCTGGTTTCTCAGATGGAGATAAAGGCAACAAAACGAGTCCAGTAAAACAGTCGTGAAAATCCAGGAGTGCACACAGATTCTCACCTCCTCTGTAACGAAAATGTTTAGACACACGTTTAAAATATGCAGAATAAGATGCAGAACTATGCCCCTCTCGGTTGTTGTGTTGGCCTAGCTCAGAGAATTCAGAGTCTGCCGTCATCCCAGCTGGGAATGAGAAAGGCACGGGGCCCCAGGTGGTGTCCATCTGCCTCTGGGTCCCACGTGCAGGACATTAGGCTGCCGCAGGAGCAGCTCAAAGCTGAGCTCTCAGAGACCTTGTAGAGGAGGGAAGCTTGCCTGCCTTGGAGCTTGACACAACCTTTTTAGATGGAAGTGTCACGGTTTAAAAATGAGAAGGGAGAGAACTGAGATCACAGTAGAATGCAAAGAAAGTTCTTAAAACAAAAATATGAGAGAAACTTTATCAGAATGTGAAAAGAACTCTAAAGCTACAGTGTGAAGAGAGGGCAGTACTGGAACTACAGTGAAAAGGTTCATAGAACACAGGAAAATGCAGAATGAGCCATGTGTATGTAATATTTTACCACGTGATAAAATGATACGTTAATATCTACAAGGAAATAGTCAATTATTTAATAAGTCCTCTTTTGGATATTGACTTACCATATGGAAACAAACATTCTTGAATTTCTACCTTACCAGTTACCAACAGTGATGCAGTTGTAATAAAAAAAACATTAGACTTAAAGAATGATGAAGTGCATAAAATTCTAGGTGAGATTGGCCTCTCTAAGCCTGACATCAAACTAGAGACCCTAGAAAAATTGACAGCTTTTACAGTTTTATTGTTTCAACGTTCAATTTGACAAAAGGTGCCAAATATAAATAACAAATGAGGAAAAATATTCTCAACACATTTGATAAAGGGGCAGTGTCTCTAATATGGTGCGTATTAATTCTTATCAACCAATAAGAAAATTTTAGTCCCCAGAAGAAGAATAGGCAGAGTATAACAAGACAGTCAAAGAAGAAGAATCTAAATGACCTATGAAGGTGTAAAATAATGGTAGTACTCCTAAAGATGAGGGAATGCTAATTGAATTGTCAGATCTCTTTTTTGGAACCACAGAGGATTGCAATCATTATCAGATTAAAGTATATGACTTAGGAAACCTCACTTAACCCCTCAATTTGTTCCGTATTACAGTCAGTGGTACTTTCATCCCTGAATGAAGTTTCTATGTAGATTAAATAAAATATGCATATCATGTGCTTAGTATATTAACTACCAGAATGTCAGCACCCATATTTACCATCAATATTATTGTTATTATTAATGTTTTTGAGACATAGTCTTACTCTGTTGCCCAAACTGGAGTGCAGTAATGTGATCTTATCTCACTGACACCTCCCACTTCCAGGCTCAAAAGATTCTCCTACCACAGCATCCAAAGTCGATGGCATTACATGTGTCTGTCACTACAGCCAGATAATTTTTTTTACTTTTAGTAGAGACAGGGTTTCACCACTTTGGCTAAGCTGGTCTCAGTCTCCTGGCCTCAAGTGATCCTAAAGACTCGACTAAACCAATGCTGGGATTCCAGGCATGAACCACCAGGCCTGGCCAGTATTCCTATTATCAATATAGTAATTATTGGATAAAAATCCTGATAGATCAATGATGCCATCATTTAATAATCAATGCATAAAAACATTCAAATAGATGATAAGGACTTCTTTATGCAAACTTATGAAGTATGTGCACCTTTAGAAGTAAGACACAAAATCCAGACATAGGAAAATAAAAGATTGTTTAAAATGTATAAAAACCCAATATAAGAATGAAAATATAAATATGGCATGGAAAAAGAAACAATATATACGGGACTATGACAAAGTGAAAAAGCTCAAGTGAACTGATGAAAGTATTTTTACCTATAGGGTAAGGGAGAAAATGGGAACGAGAAATCTAGAATGGAAGGTAAATCTTCAAATGCATCTCCTTTTAAACTTTTGACTTCAGTTCCATGTAACTGTTTTATATGTACAAAAGAGATATGAAACAGAACACAATACAGCAAATACCCAAAATAGAAAAATGAAAATGGAACAGTTACACTAGCTATACCAATGTTGACATAAACAAATAGAGAAAAATTATTTCAATGATTTTGTGGAAAAAGTATTCTGATTATGTACCGGCAACCCCCCAAAAAAGAAAAAATCAAGGAAGGAAAGGAGAAAAAGGAAGGAGAATCGGTTGAAGGAAAGGAGGAAGGGAGGGAGGGAGAGAAAAATACTAAAAGCAAGCAAAGAAGTAAGAAAGGAGAGAGAGAAAAAGGCAGGACAGAGGGAGAGAATATTGACCTTCGTATCTAGGCCTAGTGATTGAGTGGGAATTACAGTATTGCTTCTATTGCTGTAAACATGAGGAATAAGCACCAATCTCAGCTGGGATCCCTGGATCATGACTGGATACATGATGAGTATAAATACCCTTCCCATTTGCTGTCCAGAGTATCTCGCTTCACAATGAGACCCTAGGCCTACCTGTGTGTCCTAGGAAGCAGAGTGAGTGGGCCTCCCCCGTGTCCTAGGAGAGCTGAGAAAACCTTGCTCTCAGGCAGGCTGCTTAGCTGAGGCCTGGAGATGGCAGCTTGGTGTTCAGGAAAGTCCTGGGGGAGGGGTGGGAACAGGTGCAGCTGCTGCCAGGGGAGTGTGATATTAGCGGGAGATCGGGAGTGAAGCTGTGTTTCTCTCTGTACAGGATACAGGAAATTCAGTGGCAGGAAATGAGAGGGGCAGTTAGCAGCCACAAGGTAGATTTCAGTGTGGTGTAGGGCAGGTCTGAACCACTGTGTGTGTCCCAGGTGGCACCGTAATAGACCCCAGAATCATTTTCAGTTAGATTTGTCACTATCAGTTTTGAGCTCCTCCTCGTGATTGCAAAGCTCTCCATCTTCCCTGGACTGATTCCTGAATCCAACATAACCCTGGAGTTGTAGGTGTCACAGTGCAGAAGACGCTGTGGGGCCTCCCCCTCCTGGTGGAGGTACCAGTGGATGTATCTGGTATTTTCTCCAGGAAGATCACAAGTGATTACAGCAGATGACCCCGTTGTCCCAGTGACTGACTTCATTGTCACTTCCAAAGTAAAATGAGACCCGTGAGCCTCTCCATAGGCAGCACACTCACCAGGAGGCAGCAAAGCTAGAAGCAGGGCTAGGGCCCACCCCATGTCTTCCTCTCTGGGGCCTTGGAAGGAAAGGGACCAGGGAAGTGATGCCTAGCACAGTGAGGGGAGCTGGTCTTCCTGAGTCACAGCAGAGGGAAGTGACTGAGGATGCCTCTTAGGGGACTCCCAAGCCTTCCTCCAGAAGGGGAGGTGCCTGGGGGGACCTGCAGAGGAGCTCCTGCCTCTCTGCTCAGGCCGGTTCTCCAGCGCCCTCCGGTGGCAGCTGAGAGCAGGCCCTCTGCAGAAGAGAGCCAGGGGCAAGGAGAGCTCAGGCCTGCAGCAGAGGGAGTGCAGAGCTGGGGGAGGCAGAGCCTGGAGTTCACAGGCCCAGCCCTTGGAGGGGGCGGTGCTCCACAGGCTCACACCCTGCACTGTAGCGTTTCTGCAGGTAAAGCCGCTGCCAGGGCCTCATTCTGCCAGGAAGCTTCTGATTAGGGCCCTGAACCACCTTCCTTTTCGAATCAGCAAGGAAACAGGAGGCAGCCACCCAAGGCCACTCGGCTTTATTAACAGGACTGAGGTGAGGTACATTGGTGAGTCTTGGACTCTCCTCTAAATTAAATGGGTGTGTTGCGGGGGACAGGAGAAGGGGTTCAGGGGGTCCCTGCCTGGGATCCTGTGGCTGTGGTCTCTTTATTAGAGGATTTTTATGCATTGAAGAACGAGTGTGAGTTTTTTGGCCTTTTTAAGTAGTACAGGGTGACATGTCATGCAGTATTTGGAACATAATTAAACTAAAAACTTATTATTTATCTGAACTTCCAAATTTCCGGGGTACTCTATATTTGGCAGCCCTACCTCAGACTCAGACTGCTACCTGCAGTGCACCTGGTTTCTCAGATGGAGATAAAGGCAACAAAACGAGTCCAGTAAAACAGTCGTGAAAATCCAGGAGTGCACACAGATTCTCACCTCCTCTGTAACAAAAATGTCTAGACACACGTTTAAAA